TTACGCCCTCGTTTTCTTGTTGTCATTGGGTGACTGAGACAAAGCGTCTGTGACAGCAAACATCTTGGCTTTGACAGTATACAATAATCAACTGTCAAAGACGCTCACAAACCAACCCGATGCATTTAGCAGAGTGAGTTTAACACTATGAAGGATCTGCAGCAAAACGACAGTATTATCACCCAGCTTCCTGATAAGGGGTGCTCGACTGTCATGATGAATCGACACGACCACAATGAGGAAGCTAGGGTTATTCTTGATGGCAGATAGCTTTACAAACGAGCACTGACCTCACAATCCATAGCAGTATCAGACCGACTGACTAAACTACTTCGAGAATACCGGCGCAAGAATGTGATCACGGAGAATGATTGGAGCCAAATCACATTAACGGAAAGCGCTCTGGCTCGATTCAATCATCTGCACAAAAAGTAACGAAACTAAGTAGTCCACTTTGGCGAATCTTTGCCCTTAAAGAAAGTCTTGCCTATGATTTGGAAAACTGGATGTACACAAGACTGAAATTCTTCCAAGAAAACGCGACTACCTCAGTTTTAACCTTCTACCTGGGTACTTCGTCCTGATGATTGTAGTGATCCGAGTGCAACCATTACTTAGACCCCTACAGTTCAATCAGTCTCTCGAATCCTCGAATACTTCCGAGGTCGGATGATCCAACCGGACGAAATCATGGTCTCTTTCGATGTGACTTGGTTATTCACACCCTTCTCACCGAATATAGCGTACTAAGTCTTGTGCAAGAGACTTGAAAACGTATACACTCAAAACTTAACAGCTTACGAGTTATGCAAATTTTGTCAAATCGATACTTTACTTTTGCTGGAGAAAGCTATGAACAGAACAGAGGAGCTTCCCGGTCTCCGCTTTAGTGGCAAGTGGTCTTACGCGAAGTAGAAAGCACTACCTTCATCTTTTGGCGTCGCCCCGTTGACGACACATTTTTTATCGTCAAGAAGACCATGTTTCAAAACTTCAACTTGTTCAATGGAATATTTTCTGACATAACATACATGAGGGAAAAAGAGCAACATCAGTAGCCGCCTTTCCTTGATGTCCTCGTTAAGAGAACGCTCAACTGTGAGATTGAGACGACGGTGTACAATAAGGCAACGAACGCAACACAACTTCCCAGTTTTCATAGTTGCTCACAAACGAAACTGTATGTGAACGCCCTTCAAACGGATACAGACTCACTGAAGCAGGCCGGAGGAAAAGGTACGCGACCAATTTATGCGGAATGGATATCCGAAGACCTTTATGGGCCGATGCCTATGCGTTCGGACTCAGAGGACCCAAACAGAAGCACCACAGCGATATGACACGCTTTGACATCACCAGAGACGTCTTTCACGCGTCTGAGCTCATCGCTGCGGGACTAGGTGTTGGAATTGAACACCGACCCAAAGCTACGATTCGCAAAAGGGTCCAAAAATCAAACGCCGGCGTAATCCCAGTGAGAAATCTGGGGGAAGTGTATCGCATCATAGGCCTAAGCTGCGCTTCTAATTATACGGGTCAAATTGAACGCATGCTCCGATCGCGCATACAGGAACATCAGCTGATGGTACGAAGGAGCGACAAGTTATCGTAAGTTGTTGCTCACACCTGCGAAACGGGCCATGAGTTCAACTTCATAGCCATCAAGATACTCGCCCACAACGGAAACAAAACGAGCCGAGGATGTATTGACGCCTGATCCACGAATGGGAACTCAATCAATCGGTGAATCGATTTGGTGCCGGCGTACAAAGTCCTGCGCAATCACATCTGGACGTGCGTCACTGACAGTTGATTGGTGTATACTCCCTATGATTGCTCTCTTTTTGTTGCTGTTCTTATCTGCGAAGATGAATTTCTGGAAGATTTTGAAAGCTCAAGACAGAAAACCAATTTTTCCGATGTTCGATAAACCTTCCCCTTTACCCATGCCAACACCTGGAACGCGAACTTTCTCATTCATTCGTGAAAAGCTAATACTCAAATTGCTACAACACAAATTACATTGGCTCTTATAACTTCCATAGGTCAGGTAAACTACAAATCCCACAAATGCATTTGATATTCCAGTTTAGTCATCTGGTTGAACACAAGTGGGGGAGAATTTTGCTGAAGGCGTCCTCCCTCTCTCTCGTGTGCCCATTGACGCATGATTAAGGGAAAAACAGGAAAGAAATTTACCCGATAGCGAATGGGTGTAGTCTTTGATGCAAATCCAGATTTCAAACAGTAAGCGAGGAAATGACCATGACACTTCTAGAATACTAAGCCGGCATATGTTCCTTTGATTTTTTTGTCGCAAGGCCAGCTAACAGTGTTATGAACTGCAAGAGTGAGGAACGCACGAAGACGCGAGGCTTCTCCTGGTCGATTGTCCTGATCTACCATGCGGAAAAGGAACAGGGTCCAAGGCTAAATCACACGCCAACGCCCTACACTCTATCTGATCTCATAATCACCTGCCGCAAGTGTGCAAACTCCGGAACTATATAGTTCTTAAGTGTATGCATCGGCGCAACCACTGACCGGACCGTGGTTTAGTTCATCCTATCAAACAGTATCGGCAGGCTAGATGCTCATACTAATGCGACAATAAATAGTAGTCAATAATTCCATACAAGCGAACATGCTAGTCCTGGGGAGTAATTGAGAAGACGAAGATTCGATCGCTGGGACACCACTTTTATTCGCCTGATGTTTCGACATCCGTCATAGATTCTTCACCAGAGACATCAGCAGAAAGCAGTAGTAGAAGCGGGTGATACTTACACAGGAAGTCGCAGTATTTATAGGATGGAATCATTACTGCACACTTATGACAACGACAATTATCAAGAATTGCCCCCTTGTGCGCTAATTGCTTGCGGACCGGCATGCTGGCCGTGACCAGCTGAATTTGCGTCACGCGTGATGACATTGGGCGTGATGATTGCT